AACATCTTTAATAAATTTTTACAAAATAATTATTGAATATTGTTATTTAATTTGTAAACAATTATCACTATTGTATACGTTTGTTCATTATTCAGTTTCTCTTGAAACATTTCTAATATGGTTTCGTCCTCTGTACTAGTATTAGCCGCTGTAAGTGTTTTTATATTCTTCAGATAGAAATTTCTATTATCTTACTGGTCCAAGCCTGGCCTCTTTAGGGATGCTAATCGCTCGTTAGACTCAATTTGCATTTGAGTCCTCTTAAGCATAGCCTTCATTTCAACTGATTGTGTAGACATATTGGATGATAAAGCTCTATTACTTGAGATTAATGGAGTTATCAAATTATTAAATCCTTTCTCCGCGTCCCTAGCTTCTTTAGCTGTTCTTGATATGCTCGTTGTTCTTGTTTGTGTTGTATTTCGTTCTTCTTATCTATTTTAGTGATAGAATTTATGAGAAGAGGGTTGGTGCTTGACCCATTGCCACCTTCTGTCACCTCCCAGATCATCCAAGAGGCATCCAACTCACAAAAAGGTGTCAAACTCTAGCCCATCATTTTGACCCGATTGTTCCCACCGGTGGAAGACTTCTTTCAAACGCCGCTTAATTGGTAGGGTTTTTCGTTTAAGCTAATCCCTACTTCTACTATATCTATTATTTATGGATTGTGCATCTTCTTCCAATAGCTCCGCATATGTAAGTTCGATTTTAGAACGAAGTGTTACAACACGTGCGCACAGATCTCCATCCACCTCATATTCTGTAGAGCTATTAAATAGTTTGGCATATATCCCATTGTCACTAAATTCTTTTACCTTCTGTAGACCTACATTCAATCCACTCCCTGTCCCAGTCTCCTCGAAAGTTTTTCGCAACTGCATCAAATGTTGCTGGATCGCTAATTACACAAAGAAGACGAAATTTATCGGCAATAGTCCAAGCTGGTGTTTCTGGTTCGGACCGAGTTCTCACTATCTCAGATTTGTGTGATACCTTTGCCTCTCTGTCTTGCTCTTTCTTCCTAGTATGTTCAAACTTAGTTTTAAAGGCTAAATACACTGTAAGATAAGAACTAATCATTCTGTCCTTCTCAACAGTAACTGCAGGCTGAAAAAAAATTGTATGTTGGGGTTATCTTTCACCAACGACAGTATAAAAACCACATCGGCACGTTTTTTTTTCAGCTCCCGCACCTGCTGTGCTGGAGGAATACCCATGATACCAAGATTATAATTCAATGGGGTAGAACCTGGCAATGTTTCGAAGTGTTTTCAGCTTTCAGGTACTACCGTCCAATCTGTTTCATCTTCATCGTCATCATCTAACATTAAATTTAATGACATGCTTGTTGTTTCATTTTGTGCACACAAGACTGGTGTTGTCTATTGATTCACTAACGCTGTCCGGTAGTGAAAACCCTTGTGATTCAGCTACCGGTAATGTGTCAATAATCTGTGACTCTCGTAAAGACATCGTATCTTCGTCTATCGATGATTCCATTTCGTGGTCTAGAGACGATTGTACTGCTTGACTATGACCTACGGGCATCGAATCCGACATGTCATCACTACCAAGCTGTGTTTCCGGAATAAGAAAACTTTCGCTATACTCGTCACCCATAGTCAAACGAAAGTTCACCAAATATCTAGCAGTAGGTGTTATAATTATATACGTGAATCTCGTATAGATATACAGGTGCCGGATCGTGTGTAAAAATATGACTATACAATGATAATAAAATACAGTGAACACATGTCCTAATTTGATCATTATCTCCTCCAAACATATCCTTGTTCACATTATTTCATTTTTCATTTCATTTTTCACTGCCTTCCAACTTGCAAGTTGAAAAAAGAAGTTAATGAAATTTCATTTTATTTCCAAACATTTCACTGCGTAAAAAAGAAATGGAATTTATTTTTGGTGAAATTTCAGTAAAATTTCACTAAATTCGGCGGCAGGACTGACCCTAATAAACAAGTTTGAAAAATTGCAATATTTATAAATATATAATTTATAAAAGATAAATCATACATTTCATTGATCTTGCTCTCATTTGGTTGTCGATGTCCACCTTTATAATTGTTCATTTTGTTGGAGGTGATATTATCGAATCGGCTGACAACCAGGGTACATTGATATAGGTCCACTTTGACTTCAGTCCTAAAATTGCAAGCTGGAACCGACCTGTCCAACCTTTGGATACACAGACTAAAAAAATGGTTAAAAAAATGTTTTTAAGATAGTCATGACCATAGAACTCCAAATTGAAAGAAAGGGTATGTCAAGAACTCGTGATCTGATTTCAGTGATTTGTGCCCTGTAGACAGTGTAGAGTGTAGGGCTGTAGACTGCAGTTGGTTGTATTTGACCAATAAATAGTGACCCGGGCTCACGGCACAATAAATAGTGACCCGGTGGTCCGGTTCACGGCACTGCCCGTTTGTTTTATAGAAAGTAGGCCGTGAATGTAAATAAATATAACTGAAGTATTTATTTTCCGTGCAACTACATATTTACACAAATATATAGCCTCCTCAATAGAACAGGAGGCTATGGCAGCTATGTCCGTTTAAAACAAATTTGAAAATGGTCATTAAAATTTCGACATTGAATACAATATAAACGTAATTGTTGCCAATGTGTAAATAGAAGGCTAGTCTCTGCGTAAAAGCATAAAAAGCATCAAAAATTGGTTTTCGAGGAGGCGCAATCCAGGGGGCCATAAGTTAATACAATATCCACATACATACCGAGTGTATATCGTTCTACAAATAAACAAGTTAACATCACTACAACCCAGCAACCAATCTTGAGCACCTTCCTTTCATCATGTACTTACCCTTTCCATTTTGGGCCTGGCTGGCCTTTGCTGCAGTGCTGATAGGACTTGAAACTAACTCACTATTGCAGCAGAATATGGGCCCACAGGCATTGGTCGGTATCATTTTCAACAAGCTCTTTGGCCTAGGCTTGTGGTCAGAATATCTCGGCGGGCCGACCATGGGCGCT